CTTCTCTGGGCAGCATGTTCCCAAATGCCACATCCACATGTTGCTTGAACACTTCCAGGGATGGTGGCTCTACCACTTCTCTGGGCAGCTGTGCCAATACTTCACAACCTTTTCCATTAAAAAAATGTCCTAAAATCCAATCTAAACTCACAACTTTTTCCATGAAAAAAAATGTCCTAAAATCCAATCTAAACCTCCCCCGGCACAACTTGAGGCTGCTCCCTCTCATCCTGAGCAAGAGGGCTGGCTGGTAGGTCCCTGCTCCTGAGGACAAGTGACATCTTTCCAAACCCCAGAGCTTTTCTGAGAATCATTTTGGAAGTGCTTAAGATTTCTATGTTTGAGAAGCAAAGGGACAGTTTTCCTGTGCACAGGTACAGAATGGTTTGGGATTTAGCAGCAAAAGGCCCTTTGGCTCAAGGTCAGTAAAAGTGAAAGTCTCATTTCGACCCCTCCCCTGTCCCTGACACCTCACAGTGATTATACACTGACAGTCCCAAGTAAACTAACAGTGTTTAACCTGCCCCACACTGATCCCAATCATTGCCCCAAACAAGAGCTGCTGTGCACTGTCACCCTCTTGTGCTCCATGAAGAAGAAGTTTCAAAGCAGGAAGGCCAAATGAACACACACAGACTCCTTGGAATAACTTCTTGGTACAGCTTGGATAACATTTCAAACTGATTTGGCAGTGATTGACCAAGCTGAGTCTAGAAAGACCCAATCACAAGATGCCCCTGGCACAGCAGTGAGCACACAGCACACAGAGCAGTGCAGCAAAGCACCAGGCCCTCCTGCTCCCAACTCCCTTGTCATCCTGGGAGGATTTCAGGTCACCAAACCACAGGTGTCTGGTGCTATTTGAGATGTCCTGGGGCTCTAGCTGCCACCTGAGACAGCAGTGCTCCCTGTTAGAGGCCCTGGTATGGTGCCAACCTCATGCAAGGATCTGACACACGATCTGACACCTAAGCACCAGCAGAGGTGACAACTCCCATCAGCATCACTTCCCTGCTGTGCTCCTCATTGATACTGTGGTTCTGTGTGTGCTCACTTTTTGAAAGCTTGGCAGATGATGGAAAAATGCCTTCTGTGCTTTTCAGTCTTAATGTGATTTTGTCCAGCAGAACTTCCAGGGGAACACCAGCATTCCATATCCCCTCCTGTCACTGGCAGGACAGCCCTGAACACCTCTGAGCAGAGTCACAGACAGGCTGCTCTCTGCTTGCTCTGCCCAGTTCTACCCTCTTTAAGCAGCTGATGAAGCCGTGAAAAACATGAAGCAGAAGGGCATGGAGAAAGCAGACAGGAGCCTCATGCCCTGCCTCTTTTTTCCTGGCTATCTCCCATCAATATCCTACACACCTTCCCCTCTGCTTGTGAAGACAGGCACTCCTCTGTGCTTCCAGCAGCCCAGGATCAGTTAGGCAAGGTAATGAACAGCAATGCAGCTGGCACCGGGCACGGAGAGTCTTTCCCTCCCTCTGCCCTCCAGGCATCTCTGCTTGGAGAGGATGCGGCAGCTCCTCCTGGCTAACCAGGTTTGCAGCAGGCACTGGGCATGAGGGCAGATTCCTTAAGGTATGAAGAGGTTCTGACCCCTCTCCTTTCCCTCCTGCCTCCCATGCCAACCCTGCCTGGACCTCTGCCTGGACACCAGTTCAGCCACCAGACCCCGGGAGGGAGAAGGGGCAAAACCAGTTTGCTAGAGGGCTGCAAACAGGTTCTGTTGGCCCCACAATTAACTGCCGAGTTTCTGCCTTTTGTAGGAGCAGTCGGGATCACACCTTGCATTCATCCCACAGGGCAGGAACAGGAAAAATCTGTACTTGCACTGCTCAGGGGGAACAAAAGGAAATCCCAGCCCTGAGATGTCTGTGCCTGCCATGGTGAGTGTGCCATGGGCACAGCTCTGGGCAAAGAGATGGCTCTCACCAGGGCTCCTGATTCCTGTATAATTCCTGATATCTGTAATCCCTGATATCTATATAGTTACCAGGGCTCCTCATATCTATGTAATTTATGTCTTTTGCCACAGCTGCAGCACAGAATTAAACAAAAACACACTCAATCCCATCAAGACTTTCAAGCTCTTTGAACCTCAACCAGAAAAAAGTACCTAAAAATTATCCAATAATTCTGACAGTTTGTGGAGTCTTTTGGGAGTTTTGATTCCCATTCCTCTAGGTGACCAGAGGGATCCCCATCCTTTGCCTTCTGTCCTTAATGGTGCCTGGCCAGGCAGAGCTTGGGAGACCCAAACTGTCTGTGAGCCTCAACTAAACCCAGGGGTGGGACACACAGCACAGACAACAACCTCTGCTCAGCTCCACAAGGAGCCTAAGGAATTTTTTGGATCTAAACATATCAGGTCACAGGTAAAGCTGTGACCTCTTGTGAAGCTGTTGCCCAGAGAAGCTGTGGCTGCTCCATCCCTGGGAGTGTTCCAGGCCAGGTTGGATGGGGCTTGGAGCAGCCTGGGCTGGTGGGAGGTGTCCCTGCCCATGGCAGGGGGTGGAACTGGATGAGCTTTAATGTCCTTTCCAACCCAGCCAATTCAAAACAGTCTGTGATCCTATGACTCTATGAAACCCTGAGTAGAATGCTGAGCCTCTCCCTCTTGTAAAGCCAAATCTTTCAAAAGCACTAAAGTCATGGACAACCTCAGTTCTTTCCCTGAAAACTAAACCTTGCTCAGAGATCTCTCCTTGGCTACCCCTTCCCCTGCAGCAGCAGTAGTGAGCCTGCACAGGTGATTATTTCAGTTCCCCCAGTTGCACAGGTACAGATTCCCATTGCTTTCAAGTGATGCCAGAGACAAGGATCTCTGATAGCACTGAGTCACTGATAACAGGCAAGTTTCAGCACCACTCGACTGCTAATTACAGAGTTGTGAAAAACAGAGCAGTTGGCAACAGGCAGGAAATGGAGTTTGGAATCCTTTGGGAAAGCAAAGACTCTGTCACAGTGCATGGTGCAGCTCTGTGTGGGTCTCCAGGGAGCTGGCTTAGAAGGCACCACACATGCACTTCCCAGAGAGTATCCTGAGCCTCCACAAGGGACTGACACATCTGCAATTGTGTCTGTGTCAACTGAGGTTTTTCCCACTCTCCACCTTCTGTTGATGGTGGGTGCAGTGAAGAGGTTTCTGTTACCTCTTCTTCGCACACACCAAAGCATATCCAGAAGTCAGAATCACAGAACCATGGAATATTCAGAGTTGGAAGAGACCCGCAAGGATCATCAGTCCAACCCCTGCACAGACACCCCAACAATGCACCCTGTGCCTGAGAGCATTGGCCAAACACTCCTGGAGCTCTGTCAGCCTTGGGGCTGATACCTCTGCCCTGGGGAGCTGTTCAGTGCCCAAACACCTCTGGGGGAGGAACCTTTTCCTCATATCCACCCTAACCCTGCCCTGACAGAGCTCCAGCTGTTCCCAGTGCTGTCACTGCTCACAGAGAACAGAGCCCCTGCACTGCCCCTCAGGAGGAAGCTGCAGACACCAATGAGGTCTTCCCAAATTGTCTGCTACAGTTTCATGGCTGATCCCACCCCAGGTGTGGATCCAGCAAGGCACCAGTGCTTGTGCAAACCCACAGTGCCTGTGCTGGCCGTTAAGCTTGTGAAAAGCAAAGGGAACCTGGAAAACTTCTTTCACTGGATAAGACCACTGAGATAAGAGACAAGTAACCCTTCCTCTCCTCACAGCCTGGGCTCTCATGTGGGTAGGATAAACTACACACAGAAGTCAAATATTCACCCCTAAAAACACTCAGGAGGTCTAACAGCTGCCACGAAGCTCTGCTGGGCATTTAACAATGACCTCTGTCTTATAAAACACATTCTCACGCCTTTTGAGTTGTTCTTTTTGCTTGGAACATGAAAGAGAGAAGAAATATGTGATGTTTAATATCCAGTCACTTTGCTTGAGTGTCCAAACAGTGCCTGAGGTCCCAAGACTCTGGGATCACCAGCCCCCAGGTTGGCCTGTTACCACTCAGAGCCCACACTGACCGTTCAGATGGATCTTCAGGAATCTTTCATGGCTGCAGAATCCATACTGGGAGGAGTTCCAGAACAGGAGCAAACCCTCACCATGAGGCTGCAATTCCATAGAGATAGCATAGACACATAAATATCCACTAATAATGGCTTGTCACTGTGGAATTTCTTTCTGTTTTATTGTCACATTTGTGTTGATTGTAGGATGAGGCCTGAACTGCCTGAACTCTCCTGCTCACACACCAAGACAAACCCATACTGCTCCCTTTACCCTGTGCTATTAAAATTACTTGTGGGTTACTTATTACTACCTAATATTTATTTATTACTACGTATTACTTATTTATTATTTAGAATAAATATATTTAATATACTATACTAGGATAATCCTACCATTACTAGGAAATTACTATCCTACAGCACAGAACATAGAGGTCACAGCATCAGTCACCTAATAAACCTGTTTGAAAATGATCAGAGTGGAATATGCACAGTGAATCTAACCTTTATCCCAATTTCTTCACACACTTTGTTAGCTGCTGAAAACTCTCTGTTCTCCTTGCCTCGTCATTAATCAGAAAAACACTTCTAGTGTTCGCTTACAAACAAGTGCAGGGAAGTAAAAGAATGTATTTGATACTTTTACCTGAATCAGTGAATCACAGTGTCCTGAGCTGGAAGGGACCCAGGAGGATCATCAGTCCAACTCCTGTCCCAGCACAGGACACCCCAACAATCCTCCCTGTGCCTGAGAGCATTGGCCAAACACTCTAGTTTGGCTCCAGTCAAACCAGATCATTCTTAAAGACATAACAGGAATCAAAACATAATTTTTCTCCCTTCCCTGCATGTACAACTTTGCTGTCTGTTTCCAAAGGGATGAGAAAGTGCAGAACTGTAATAGCAGCACAATATCCACGGCTGGATATTCTGAACATAAAATAATCTCCAAGCAAATAACCCTGAGCAAATGGGAAAGGGAAATCCTTACTCACCTGCACGTGATCTGCCCAGTTCTCCTCAGTCATGGTTTTCTGCAAAGACAAAATGACTCCTGAGCCATCTCAGAAAAGGGAGGATGTCCTACACAGCAAGCTGGAAATTAACACCATCATTTAGCACACACTGTCTTCACCTGTACCCAAGGAATGCACTCTGGAGCACCTGGGAGCACTCTGGAGCTCAGCTCCTCTCGTGTCTCCAGCCAGAATGAACAAATGCAGAGAACTGTTACATGGCAGCACACAGGACACAGAAATTCCCATGCACTATGTCCCCAGCCTGTTGAGCTTTTCAGGCAGCCCATGGAGAGCCATGCCATGGGCTCCAGGGGAGGGAGGGAGCTCAGGGATCATCTGCAAGGCTCAGCCTTCAGGACATAAAAACAAAAACTTTTCTCCACAGCCAAGTCATGAAAAATCCTCTGGAATCAGGAGGTCTGGGAAAGGAAACTGATAAGTGAATAGTCCCATTCCAATGTAGCTCAGAGCCAAACTTGGGGAGAAGCTCAGGATGGGACCTGCTCTTCCCTGTGCCAAGAACACAGCCTGCATGAGACAGACCATGAGCCTCACCCCAGCCCTGGCAGAGGGAACAGGGATTGCCAGTGCCACTTCGATAGAAAGGTCCAAGAGCAAACAGGGAGTAAAAGCCTCAGAGGAAACAGCTCAGAGATATACAAGCATGTAATTTAAATACTAGTGAGATAAAGGAGCCATTTAACCAGAACTCAGACACAGCTGAGAATGGTAAACAGAGAGCACCAAAGAGCTCTCAGAAGAAGGGACTGTGGCCAGGAACAGCTGCCAAATGTACCTTAATGGAAGTAACTGGCCAGCTTGGACACTTTAAATCAAGCAAATACTCCAAAACAAAGGAAGTGGAAGGGCAGAGAGAGCAGAACACCAGATCACGAATCCATTCCACTCTGCTAAACAAATACACCTGGAGAAATGCTCTCTGGCTGTGGCTGACCATACCATGATGTCATCCAGCATTAAAGCTGTGAGGTGCAGGAGGCTGCAGTGCTGCATCCTCCCCAGCTTTTCTGGCAGTGCATCTGGCAGGCAGTGAAGACAGATCAGAGCCTTCACTGATGGATCTTGGGAGCAGAACTGGCTGTGCCAGAACAGTGTCATTAGATCACCAACCACACAACCCCATCCTCATGTTCAAAGTACCGGGGGTGGGAGTCAGAAACCCCCATGGATCTGCCTGCTGCAGTCAGAGCAGCAAAGGAATCCTCTTCCAGCACAGCACAGGCATTTCAGGAGGAGGTGGCTCATTTCCCAGTGGCTCTCTGGAGAATGGATCAATAGTCCTGTAAGAACATCTGAAAAACCTACTGGGCTGTTCAAAAAGCCTCTTGTACCTACAAGAAGAAAATCTTTTCTGAACTGCAGATGAAACTCTGCTCCATCTTTGGCTAATGCAGCATGAGAATTCAAAATGCAAGGAATGGAAACACTTCACTGTGATGTTCTGTCTCTTGTGGTCCTTGTCCTTCACAGCCCAATGGATACACCTGGACACAAGTGCAAGCTGTTTTTTCCAGAAGAGGCAGAACCAAATCTGACTTTCAGCTGGTAGGACCTGTCCCCAGGGTAATGCTGAATGTCATACCATCAGGAGAAGCCCCAAACCTGCCCTGTTAAGGAGATAAATGTGTTCCCAGTGCAGTGTGCTCAGGAGCATCCAAAGGGCAGTGACTTGGCTCAGTGCACTCCTGAGTGGGGAGGAGAAAGCACAGTCAAGTCATTCTGCAGACAAGCAATCTCCAAGCTGCCTCCTAGGAACCTGCCCCTCAGAAAGAATTAAAGGCATTTGCTTATTCCTCCTAGTCCTCAGTGTCAGGACAAGTACCAGTGGATTTGGAAAGAGAATTTGGAGGCTGAACCAGAAGTAAAGTTTGTTCAGAGTGGTTCAGGAGCTGAAAGAATGACTGTTTTGCTCAGCAGTAACAAGGCTGGGAGCACAAAACAGCTCCTGTGGCAGGTTTGGGCTGTACCTACCACAGCCAGGCCACAAGCAAAGTGCCTACAAAGAACCCAGAAATGAGGAATGTCTCAAACCCAGTGTTCTTTAAAAAAGAAACCCAACCAAAAAACCCACACAAATGCCAAAAAATTCTCTATCCAGTGTGCTACTGCTCCTTTGGGATGGCTGAGAGAAGCTGAAGGCTGGAGAGCACACCCTGACCTCCCCACCGTGTCTCAGAGCACTGCTGAGGGAGCTGAGCACCAGCCCTGAGCCACCAGGACACACAGACTACTCCCTCAAATAGGTCCAATGGCAGATCCAAGGCCTTTCCATACTGCAATAATCACAACAAAAGTTTGCTCGTATACATTTCAATCATCTCAACTATGTTACTCAGAGTGCAAATGGAAGGAAAATCCTTGTTCAGCCCCAGAGAATCCAGCACATACCTCCACAAATCTCTTGTAGAAGAGGTATTTCAGGGTTCTCAAATTCCGCAGATTGATGACATTAGGGCAGAGAGCTGGAAGAAGGAAAAAGACATTTAAGAACACAGAATTTCCTGGAAGTTTCACTGCCTAGACATGACACTTTTCCTTCCCCAGTGGCAGGCTGGGTATGTGGCGGGCAGGATGCCCTCCCACAGAACAATGAGGGACAGACACACATTGTCAGTTTATCTCAGCTACAAACTGTTATTTACACTTTCAACCGTGATTAGCAATGCTAATCCTTAGCTCTGATATCTCTGGTTCCACCACCCCTGAGCGATAAGATGGTTCAATATGCTCCACAGTCAATGACTTCACACCTTTAATTAGGCACATCCCCACACACGGCAGCACCTCAGTCTCCAGAGGCTGCATTCTGTGGGGGATAATTGGAACGTGTTGCTGTTAATTCATTGACGCAGTTGTGAACAACTTACTCAGGATGTAAACTTGTGGCTAAGAGTCAAACAGATCCATGAAGAGACTCCCAATCCATGTAGGGAGGGTGGGGACTATTGTTGTGCTGAGCTAGCAAGCCACAGGTGTTGCTCTTATTTTGATTCCTGACATCTTCATTAGATATGGCTCATTACAGCTGCAAAACCCAAGATCTTCACATAGCTCCTTGTTTGGAAATCCAGCAAGGAGAGATAAGGCAGGAGATAAAATACATGAACTGGGATTAGCATAGGTATCTGTCAGTTCCTGCTGGATGCTGGGAAGAATGTACAGGGAAAGGCTTAACCAAAGCCTTACTTGGGGTTTCAGTGGCTAACAGCATCTCACTGGGAGTCACAAGGAGCAGGACCAGCAGTCAGGAAGGGTCACAGAGAAGAGGAAAGGGAAAATTCCCTGCAGCCTCCCTTGAATCAGCATCCACAGATTCCTTAGCCCTCTTCATGCCCCACATAGGACATGCTGAAGACGAAAATCAGAAGAATGAAGAAGGATCTTTGGGTTCCAGACCCTGGGATCAGAGGGGTGTGGATTGATGTCCCACTGCTTACAGCAGGTCCTCAGAGTCCCCTGAAGCATCACTTCAGAATCTCAAACAGAAACGGTTAAAGCTGTTATTTTTTAGTTAGTTTGACCTCAAAGGAGATGAGGAACTTAGGGTTTAGAGGTTACAGCACTGACAGGCTAATGGTTGGATGTGATGATCTCAGAGGTCTCCTCCAACCTGGATGATTCTATGGTTCTGTGAAATGATTGGAATTATCCAGCTGGATAGTGTCCCAATAAATACAGATATTATCCCAATAGCTGGAGGAAAAATCATCAGCTCACGAAAGCAGCATTCTCTAGAGAAGGTAAGATCAATGTAAAAATCAATAACATCACCACCTAACTTAAAGATCTCAAAACACTTCCAAAAAGCCATGGCAAGGGTGCTCCAGGACACCCAAAAGATCCACTTAACGTTTTGTTCTTTGAGCTTCTAGAGGAAATATCCCAAGCACAGGCCCTGGCAGAACTGTCAAGGTCAAACACTGAATCAAATGAACATGACCAAATCAATGCCTTGTTGGTCAGAGCAAAAGGCAATGTCCTAAGCTTTCCAGAACAGGGGCCATCCTTCCAGTCAGTGTCTGTCCAATGGGGTTTTGGGGCTGTGCCTGGGTTGTGGAGTATTAGAGGAATACAAATGGTTTTATACTACGAGAGCACCTCTTTGGGCATGTGTTATCTCCTCACCTGTCAGCTGCAGCACAGCCATGTTCATCTGAGTGCCAGTTCACATCTGGGCCTGACTCGGAGCCCAAACCCCCAGTCTGCTCTCAGCCCTTGGCAGAGTTAATGGCCATGAGCAACCCAGAGGAAGTAAGGATGAAATGTCTGTCACCAGGGTGTGAAACCTGCAAGCCACACTATGTCAGTAATGCAACATGGGTAAGATGTGTCTGCTGGGGACATGGTGCAATGGATTTTTAGGTGTGGTGTGTGGCCACCACTCCCAGGAGATACCAAAGCCTCCTGAGCTGGAATGTGGACCCAATCCACTCTTTCAATGGCCCACAGAGCTTCCATTCACAACGAGACTCCTTCCCCCTGTCCTGGCAGAACAGCAGGTCCCACACAAAGAATCTTTGTTTAGGGACAAACTAAAGGACCCTTTTAACATAAAATCAGAGTACCTGACACACTAAAGGCTTTTCCCTGGTATTGTAAGGACTGTCAGGGACTCCAAGGAGCAGGAAGCTCTGCATTAGGCTCCAAGTGTATTAAGAGATTAATCCCTAAGTGTGAGTTAGTGGAGCATAGAGCTGCAGTCAAGAAAACCTCTTTTTATTGTAGCCTCACAGATGCATTAGTGCCTCTCATGAACTGCTCTGTGCCACTGCAGCTCAGGGCCAGTGGTCCTCAGGAAGGAGGGTGGTGCTTAGGGTGCTCAGGCACTGGGATATTGCCCAGGGAGGTGGTGCAGTCACCATCTCTGGAGGTGTTTAAGAGGTGTCTGGATCTGGTGCTGGAGGATCTGGTTTAGGGTTTAGGGGTTACAGCAGTGACAGGTTAATGGCTGGACTTGATAAACTTAGAGGTCTCCTCCAGTCTTGATGGTTCTATGATTCTGTGACACAGCAGAAGCCCCAGACTCCCCCGAAGCCCTTGAGCTGGTTGTGCTGCCTGGAGGGAGGACAGAGAGCACAGCACAAGTGGTTGCATCTACACCAAAGGAAAACATGCCCTGGTGTAGCATTTAGACACTGTTTGGAGATGATGAATTAATGCTCAGAACTGCAAGAGTAGTGGCAGCTTTTCCACAAAAAAGCTTGGAGCTCCTGGACATATCCTACTGCTTTCTCTTCAGCAGGCAAAGATGCAGCTGAGGGGTGAGAGCCTCAGAAGTACCCTGGTATGTTCCATCCCCTCCTCCTTGAGCCACTGCAGCCTTGGGAATGGGGGCTCCTGCCTGCTGATGGCACAACCTGGAGATTCTCCTCAGGCACAGAGTATGCAGAGATGTGCTTGGTGTGAGAACCCACTCAGGTGGGTCCTCACAGCTGGTATTCAACACCTAAGCTGAAACACTCTGCAGGAAAACCATTAGGGAAATCAGGAAAAAACCCTTGTACAGCAAAAATGGACAAGAAAGGAATAACATTCTGCCCTGTTTCAACGAGGGAAAGGTAAAACCAGTTTAAATCTCCTCCTTGCAAAAGCATTTCTGTCGAATTACACGAGTCCGAGAATCACAGGATGATCAAGGTTGGAGGAGACCTCTGAGATCATCAAGTCCAACTGTTAACCTGTCACTGCTGGAACCCCTAAACCCTAAACCAGATCCTCCAGCACCAGATCCAGACACCTCTTAAACACCTCCAGAGATGGTGACTGCACCACCTCCCTGGGCAATATCCCAGTGCCTGAACACCCTGACAGGGAAAACATTTCTCCTAACATCCAATCTGACTCTGTCCTGTCCCAGCTCAAGGCCATTCCCTCTATCCTCTCCCTCAGCCATGGCAGGACAGACATCCCCCACCTCTCTCCAGCCCTGTCAGGGAGTTGCAGAGAGCCATGAGGTCACCCCTGAGCCTCTTCTCCAGGCTGACCAACCCCAAGTCCCTCAGCCCCCCCCGTACAACACATGTTCTGCTCCCCTGTCCCGCAGGGAGTGCCCCGGGCAGGGGGTGTGCCCGGGGGTCCCGGCCGTGCCAGCTGTGCACACCTGGGCAGATGTGCGTTGGAGCGCGGTCCTTGCCTGCCCTCTGCTGCCCCGGCAAACCGCTCCGGGCCCTGCCAGAACCCTGCAGACTGCGGGGAAACTGCTCACAGCCTCAAAGCCTTTCAGCTCATCCCTGAGCCTCCTCCAGGCTGAGCGAGCTGGGGGTGTTCAGCCTGCAGAAGAGGAGGCTCAGATAAGAGAGTGACCTTATCACTCTCTACAGCTCCCTGACAGAGGCTGGAGCCAGGCCGGGGCAGGCTCTGCCTCCAAGGAACAGT